GTATTTTTGCAGGGTGTCGTCGACAAAATTCATACATGTAAATCTGATTTAGTCATTGAGCTAAAATAATTAACATCTGCTTGATGAATGTCGTCTTGATCATGCAGTTGATTGATAATGAGATATGTATTCACGAACTGGGCTAGATTGTTTCAATTTATCGGTTGTAACGGCATTTGAATTTAAAGATGCCGCATGTAGTTTTAAATAAAATTGCAGTGTATATTTACAGAATTAGGCATATGCGAGTTAAAGGTTTTCCGAATCTCTTCGAATGTAGTGAACTAAAAGGCTTTGGCTCACAAAAATTGCAGACTGTCTATCTCATTCAAATTTCGCGTCGCTCCCTTTCTATTTATTGACTAATTTTTTCTTGACCTTGTTAAAACGTTTTTGTATATGCTGTTTTGATCCCAATAATAATATATAATGCTTGATTGGAAGGGACTACATTCATTCAGTCTTCCTTATGTAATATTAAATGTTCAGTATATTCTTGGCAATCCTGTAAATTTTCTACTTCCAAATATATTTTGTCTTCTAGTGGAATGGCAGCTTTGGAGTTAATACTTAATTTAATCGATCTCAACAGGCTAAATTATGCACTTCCACTCCAAGGAACTCGAGGACAACCTGCCTGATTTGGGGTATTAAATTTAACATGCACTTCCGAATGGAGAATAAAGCCTTTTTGAAAAATCTTAATGAACATGTGAACATATTCATATTACTGACGAGAAAATTAGAGCAATCAATGTCAAAGGAAATGTGCGATTGATCCTTAGCCGAAGTCACCCACAATGGTAAATTTGCACATATGGCGCAGCTGAAATGGCCAGGCAGCCCACGCAGGCATTCGGGTCGATATGTCCGAACGTCCACATGTGCACGTGCCTAACAGTCACGCCTATCGGTGTGCTCTCACATTAGACACGATAAAAACTACCACTCTCGGAACGTACGCACAAAAATGCGACTGTTCAACGAGCCAAAACGGAAATATTCGCACCGGCACCCCATGATTATAAAAGAAACACCCAAATAGTACAAGGGGTCGCAGTAAGTGCAACATTTGCCAGTTCTTCTTTGTTTGACCCACGGTCTCACGAATAGTTTTCGCTGAGAGCCATCCGTTAATTGTTCAGTCATTAGTCACCTTAGTTCGTTCACATTCCAGGCATACTTGGTTTTCTTACACGTATTGTTAATTGACGTTTTACATTAAAATAACAAAAATACGTCTCGATCAGTGTTCCAAGTTGCCTGTTGCATTCGACTTAATCGAACTCGACGTGCCGTCTGTACGGAGAATAGCAGGTATTGTTAGCACTAAGAGGTTCGGATGATACATCTAAAATCACCATCATACCCCAGTAACCTAAAACGCACCCATGTTTTAAAACACTTAGCGAAAGACATTTCCAATCATAAGGCGAAGAACAAACAGACAAAACCACGAAGGCAGCACCGTCACGACACATTTTACTTGTGCTTCAATGGCCCAATGACAAAGGGGTTAAAAAGCCGGAGTCAAGACTGTTAAGCTCACCAAAAACCCTCTTCCAAATAGCAAATTAAAAGAAGAAAATGAGAAAACAAAGCACTAACAAGTGGAACAAATCATATTGGCTGTAGCTTAGGCAATTGTGATAAAGCGAAGTAGGTGGTAGCAACAACACGTAGTTAAAAGATGCTAGGGCAAAAGCAGAGGGAATAAGATGAAAAACAATTAACTTGAATAGAGAGAACGTCACTAGTTATGTACTTCCGTGTGCTAGCGGTCTCCGAATTTATTACATATAAAGTAATCAAGAGATAATTGCGAGACGTTGGGGTAACACAAAAGCACATGTGCAGGCAAATTTAGACTTCAGCCATGAAAAAATAGGAACTGGAAAAAACTGAAATTTGGGGAGAGGCGAGTGAAGCCAAGTGGTGAAGTGGGGAGGAAAGATTGTGTGAAGGCACAAGGGGGTAGGTTAAGGACGAAGAAGGACAGTTGCAAACATAATTGGTGGATGCTCAAAAGTGGGAACTCGAGGCAGGTGCACTAGAAAAATATACACTTACATCTTTATGAGGCATACAAAGCGAACGAAATGGGCATGAAACATGCGACAATCAACCAAACACACACGCATGATTGTCCACGGCGAGAGGGTTCTGGTTGGCATTTAATACCGCTGAATTCGATAGCAGGGTAATGATTAACGTTTGAATTGACATCAATATGATGAAGGGTAAAGCAGAACGAGTAGTGCAGGAGCTTAGACCGCTGAAGGAGCCTGCTTGACTTTCTTTTTAAAAGTAGGGAAGCGAAAACTGCCCCATCTGCTCTTTTTCTTCTCAGCTTTCAGCTTATGCTAAATGAGAAAAGAAGTTTGTCAACGTAATTCCTGGTAAACTGAATTAACAAAGTTAAGTCTGCTTATTGCTGAAAATAGACGTAAATACGCTGCTCGAGGTCCACTAAACACAATAACGAGTCCAACAAATAGAAAAAGCGGAGCAAGTCACATACTATTAAGCGAACTCGGGGTGCTGCTGCGTCCTTGCAAAACTAAAAGTGATTCACGCGAACTGAGAGGGTTCCCACTATGTTGAGTGCATCATCGAAATACGCTGATGCATCAAAATGCACAAGTGAACAGGTGCTCCACATAGTCATTAGCAATGATTTACAGTGTATAAAAATCTTAAGCCGCAAAGGAGGAGGCAGGAGTAAAACACAAACTCTTCTTAAAGATTTAGCCCTAGCATTTTGCTGCGAATAAACTTTTAGTATAAAAATGAACTTAAATGTCGACTAACGCTGGAAAGATTCCAACGACCGATGAAAACGACACTTTCTAACTTGTGTGAAAGCAACAAAATCGAGCTAGCGATTATGTCTACGCACGAATTGATAGAATGCTCTACTATAGACAACGAGAATATTCAGTGAAAATACCGGTTTTCGTGGCCATGGAAGGTGGCTAGCAAACAAGGGCAACCGCAAAGTAAACCAATGTTTACGGCTAAATGGAGTCATAAGACCAATTTGATTAAGTACCAGACATGTACGTAACATCAGGGGAATACAAAAAATACAACTGACGCCTTAGCGCTCCTGCGTTGGGGCCAGGCAGCGACAGCATCAATGACCGAGTTTTGTCAAGGACACACGACTTAAGAGAAGCCACTAGACCTAACACGCGGTTCATATTTCCGGCCTTGTAAAATTCATTAAACACGGTGGGCCATTATACACGCCGGTACTTCAAACTACATCAAGTGACTGTTATGCAAATAAAAGAAACAATAAAAGCAATGCAGCAGACGGAAAGGCGCATAGATGAGACATGAAACAAAAAAATTCAACAGGAAAATAAACCTCTTCATCGTCCGAGACAATGCCGTCAACGGGCTCTAGACTGTTGCTGAAACGAGCCGGGAATTTGACTAAAAGTACAAGAAAGAGGTTGTCGTGAAAATAAAATTGGGGATGAAATTCTCACAACTGATACAACTGTGTAAAATGGGACGCCTGACTAAACATCATCAAAAAATTATCAACCGCCATTATGGTTAAGTTTACCTTGAATTTTTGGTGTTCGGAGAAACCTGACTCAACACCAATCAGGACGCAATCACCAACAATACGGTGATTCATATTTAAGCAACTATGGGCCGCAAATGTCAAACGATAAACGACTACGGTCTTGGACATTACGCAAACCTAATGCGGAACATTAAGAAAAGTGGAAAACTTGGATATTTGCACAAAATATTACGGGAAAAGTGACCAGACCTGTGTGCCTATTTGAAAATTAACTGGGAAAATAAGCAGACATGAGAGAACGGTTGATGAATGACAAATCAGATGCCTAAATGAGGTGTAAGAATAGGAGAACTGTATGGGAAACGAATTATTAAACAGATGCTTGGTAACGGCGTTGTTTTGGGCAGTCATTAAGAACTCGACTCACCCAGATTCCTTGCGTGAGCGGGGAGGCTGGCACTGCGGCTGGCCAAATCAGCCCTGGGAGTGGGAGGAGTTCGAGGTTCCTCGATGACGCATTCGGGGGCCTCAATCTTCCCCTTCGAGCCTAAACACACACACACACGCACATTAGAAATAAAATGATAGGTACCCACCCTGAACGAGTTGTGCCTGCTAGGTGCATAGAACGGTGCACGCACCAGCTTTCCATACAATGAAAACTACGGGCGCGAAGACCATTATACCTACATAACAGGATGAAGTTGCTGTGTCCACATTGTCCCTGATGCTAGTCCAAATTTTCATTCAAAGAAAGTCAAGAGGCTACTTTATTTACAATCTATTTGCATAAATCGTTATCAATACGTTGCCTGAGTCTTTCAAGGCAGTCTATAAATTCTTGCTTCAAGAAGTGTAAGGGCGACGTCTGTGAAAAATATGTAAACAACTACTAAAGGAAATCTGTGAAAAAATTACACCACATGGATATGACTCAATCCTGAAATACTGATCAAGCTAATTAAGCCACAGCAAATCAATAGATAAAGCTAAGAGTTATGAATCTGAAAAAAAAAAGAATAAGGCTGCCAGGCAGTACATGTTTACCAAACAATCGGGAATGGACGATGACGAAGAATGAACCCTAAAACGAGAATCGACGTAGTCGGTTCAACTAATTTATACGCGGCTAAGCCCAAGGTATGGTGCTATAGCACTTTAATTGTGTTATTTCTTCGAATTTGATTGGACGCTAAAGCAATGTTGACATCAAGGAAGCCCCACGGAGATACTTCTAGTCGACTCATTTTCGTTACCATCATTGAAAACTATTATGTTTTGGATTACAATGACTGTTTTTATGGGGTTGTTCATTGCAGTGGTGCTCAACCCAGGCAAAAATGAGATGACAACTACTTGTGAGTAAATGAAATAATGAGACCAAATACTGGACTATTAAAACCTCCGTCGGGAGCTGAAACATCAGACCCCTATTCCTCAATGAAATTCCAAACAGATAAAATACGTTAAGCGAGGGTTTCGTCAAAGTAATTGCTGACAGATAAGTACACAGAATCAAGTAAATGAAGGCATTCAATCAAGGAAAAGCACCAAGACCTGGTGGACTCTGTGTGCCTGGTTATGCGCAAATAAGCTTTCAAATGGGGCCGGATGATTGCATAGGCAAGGCAAAACTGTAGGCGCAGATGGTCAATGTGCATGGCTGATGTACAATGCCAAGGCGGTAGTGATGTCAAATCAAGCATAATCAGGACAAAATCTTTAAAGTGTAACTAATATTTCCAGAGAAAAAGATTGTTAACAAATTGTAAGACCACAAAGCTAATGATGCCAACGCACTCGAGTACGTAAACCTACCGACGCATCGGCCGTAGAACTAAGCACTTGCATACTACAAATGATCACCTCAATAGCTTACCGACATAAAAATTAAAAGTCAAGGATTGTGTGGTTCAAAAGAGGTTGCACAAGAGAAACTTAGGAATATATACGCACTGGGAAATTGGGTTAAAACTAAAAAAAAAACATTAATGACAGGATGTGTCCCATTTAGACTGTGTGATTAAAGAACAAAGCACATTTAGGCAAAAGCTAGCCCAGTTATCGAGGAAATGTCACTTCCTCCTTATCAACCACCAACAACAAAATTATTAATGTTTGACGCATCAGCAGAACACGGACCCATAAAGGGCGCTCAGAACAACAGTTCACTGCCTTCCAGTCAAAATGGCAGCGGAAATGAACTACCATTTTGCTGATAAAAGACTATTAAAATCGATGACGAAACACAATACATGTGAATTCTGGGAACCACACCAACACATTTACAAATGGAAAACGATTAACATTGAGTAAGCAGCAGTGCATTGCGCCATGACAAGTTGGAACGGTCCATTTGAAAAGAGAACGTGCATGAATGAAAATGGAACACTAAGTGAGGAAATCAAAGTGGTGCCCTACATCGAAATCAGGCATCATACTACAGATCCTAAAGCGAGTTATTGTTCACAGTTACACATGTTGTAGCTGGTAAAAATCGACATAACGCACAACAATTGTCCATAAGCGGACAGTTGGTAAATGCATGGAAGAGAAGTAACTAATATTTACGTAAAAAACACAGATCCGACGGTTTTAAATACCAGGAAGAATACCAATTAATGCGGCTACAAACACCTTCGAAAATAAACAAATATAATTTGGTCAAAGTGTCGAATAAAGTAAGATAACGAGTTGGGTTCAAACATTTGTAATCGTGCAGCACCAATGAAAGCATAATTCGAGAAATGACTTGGAGACAGTAAATTCTGGAACGATCTGATAACCCAACTATGGCACATCGAAAATACTCAGTAATAGTTAGACGGAGCCAACAATAGCACATGGCACCCAGGAATTAAACTAAAGAAATGGCGCACTAAACTCACTAAGAAGTTAATCGTTGAAATGCATAATCCGGAAAACCTTTTTTTTAAATATATCTTTATGCAGAACATTATTTCTTTTGTTCTTTATATAAATAGAAGCAGCATTTAAGAAAGTTTTTAAAAATATATTTACGATTAAACAAGGTGACAACCAGGCGGAAGGCTTTCGTGGGAAGGGAAACCACACGCAGCAGGTGAGCTGACGTCCGCTGTAAGGTTAGATGACATGGATGGTCGCTAGTCTTGGGTTCTATTCCGGCATACGGCGCAAACGCACAAAGGCACTTTCATTTGCATACCAAATGCACACATTCAATGGACGAGCCAGCAATCTTGAAAAGGTTAAAAACGAACCTAACCCAGATAATACTTCACCAAAAATAGGTTTGATTATACGTTGAAAATGAGTTCCGCTGGACACGAGTAGACCCACTGTAAAATATATCAGTTTTTTGGGCGATATCACTCATCACGGCACATCTCGTTACTTACTTCATGGCATCAACAGCCTTCAATGTCTTACAGCCATTAAAAAATGAGTTTATCTCGTAAAGATTGGTCAATGGCATAAGCTAAATTAAACAAATTTCTTGAAATTACGATATTCGCCTAATGGCCGAGGAATTCCTGCAGTTCAACGAATGATTTACGCCACTTTGTTCACGTTTTTGCAGCACAAAACATGTTGGCGTGCTTCTCCTAAGAATCGGATTGGTCATGTTTTGTTTTTGTCCAAGGGAAGTCTGAGCAGGAAATAAATTTCCATTAGAGGTTTCACACAAAGCAGATGCTATCGGTGGTTTGCGTTGCTTCGATAAATGGACGACAATGCTTCTACCCAATTGCAGACATGGCGACGAGATTTTGTGAAAATTGGCAATATATAATTATTTACATTTTTAACATAATTCACGACGTGACCGGAAGCAAATCTTGAGAAGTAACACCGTGACAAGTGAATGGCGTATGTTTGCAGTTACAAGGTTCCCTTATTCACGAACAGCAGTTTTAATATTGAAAAGTACCTACTATGACTATTGATACAATCTCATGATGTACTCATGTTACGCTGCAACTAGTAAATGGACGCAATCTGAAAATTGGAACAATGACTGATGAGGAGAGTCGACCGAAACACACTTCTACTTTGAATAAAAAATAAACCAAAAAAGTACTGGTTTGAGAAGTATTTAAACAGAAGTATTAAACACCTATCAGTGCTCTATGCTGCAAGTTACTGAGCCGCAATTCACGTGGAGTTTCACTTCTGCGCATTGATATTACTACCCTCCGTGACTGCATGGACAAAATGGAGCTTGTGGAAGAATCTACTTTAAAAATGATAAAAAAGACGTTCAAAGAATGTTAGGTAAATGAATCCAAGGTCCAAATAAATACTGCATGGACCAACTAAGCTCAAGATCAAACGCACATGTCTGACACTGACGTAGATAATAGACAGTCAAAAAAATCTGTTTTGTAAATCGCATTAATGCCGAAGATTACAAACAAGTCACGTCTAGGTTACCGGTTGTCTACGTGACCAAATATCTCGAATGGACGCGATAAATAAAAAACACACAGGTCGGTGTTGATCAGGGGTTGACGAGTACAGAACGATGCGAACTTCGTTATGGAAGACACGTCTTTGACTTACAAAAACAATGTATTTGGCATAAATTTATAAAAAGAATTTTGTCAACCATTAGGTGAAAGGATGTCACAAGCATGTACGACACCGTTTGACGTCTAGCCAAATGCCAACAGCAATGGAGCACTTAGACTGACACAAACTGCCTTCAGTAAACGCCACTCGAGTCCACCAATGTTCGAAATTACACGGAAACGGCAAAGGATCATCATGTACAAATAGGTTATTTTTTGCAACTGAGATTACCACTAAGGTTAAGCCACAAAACACAATGCGTGACTGCATGCAGATGAGGGTGGGATGCGTGAAAAGGACATGGGCTTACGATTGCGTGGAGAAAATGGGGATTTCATGCTTTTTCGACCAGATTTCGTCGGTGTAGCCTTGTCGAAACCGGAAGAGGCGGATGCAGCTAAATCGAGAGGAGGAATTGCTGCGGCTGCCGCCAGTTCCTCCACACTTTCTTGAATGTGCTGTCCATTCAATGGAGTCGACTGATAGGCAGGAGTGCGGGAGGCGAACAAACGGTCTATGTAGCGACAGCGCGTAGCAAACGGAAGAGGGGCATGAAACACAACAAAAGCAGGACTGCGCATGCATCAGTAACGTAATGAGGCGCGTGCGACAGGGAAGCCATGCCAACAGACACAGAATCACACGGAATTGCATAAACGAGAGGTATCTTACCGGATCCCGTTTTGGAGAGCCATTGATTTCGCTGAAATCCTTTTTCTTTGTTTGACTTGACAGTGCATGCGATCCTTTAAGTGAAAAATAAACAATTACGACATTTATTAATGTGGGACAGAAATTTTCAGAGACGCATTGGAGGAAAATGTACGAGAGGTGCAATTATAATTTAAATGCGGAGCAAAAAACACCACTACTTTGGTTTGGCCTCCATTTAATGTTCTGCCCGGTAAAATTTAAGAAAATCACGACAGATAGTACTCGTAGTACACAACGAGTGCTAATTTCACAAGCTCAACCCCAGAGGGACTCAGCAAAAGCATAACTAGGTGCCATGAGGAAATATTCGAAAACGCTGACACGACTGTCCACAATAAATGCCACCCATAACGTAAAAAAACGTTGACCTCACCGACATTGCCTCCAGGCTTAATTATTCTTTGCGCACTACTTCCAAGAACAAAACAATAAATTTACAAAGGATGCCTTCTAACAGCCATCCAATCGATAGTAGAATGGTAAAACCGAGGTTCCATAGTCCAGTGGAAAGAGAATTTCATTAAAATACGGTACCAGCTAACCTTGTCATCTGCGCAGCGCCAGCTTGAGTGGCAGCTGCAACGTCATCCACATCACTGGCATCTGCCACTGTGCTATCTGAAAGGAATCCTGTGAAGAAGTCATCCGTCTGTTGTCGTTGGGTGGTACTCGCAGACCAAGGCATTTCTGTTGGTTGACGGCGTAGTAGGTTAGGGTTGCGATAAGCGTACCCCGTCCGGTACCCAGCGCTGTCGAGCATCCGCATCTGAGCTTCAAATTCCATCTCGCCAACTCCCCACCCAGAAAGGTCTGCAATGATGAAGTGATTTGTGGCGAATGACACCAACACAAGTGGGCAAGCATTGGTAATCACTGAAATAGTGAGGCTTCGGGAGGAGGTAGGATCAAAAACACGACAAATATGGAATTCCTTAGTTACTTGGCAATATTAATATGCGGTTTGAGGTTAGATACAATTATAAAAGCATAACTACGGTTGCCTCGTCAATCTTTCTGAAGTCGATTTAAGACCAAGAAGCAATCAAGAAATCCGGAATGATATTTTCAAAGAATCTTCAAAGAAGCCATAGACACTGAGGTGATGTTGAGTATTTCGACTCGAATTGAAGCGGAATGATTAACGTCCGTTAACTCTGCTGTCGCATGTTCGGACATCACACTGAAAGGGGCAGACACGTTTGATCATGCATCCATGTGAACATACCTCGCCTGCACATGTGTACTCATAGATCTCCTTTCTATAACGTTGAGTGTACGATGCACACAAGAGCGTTACGCCATCTAATAAACTACTACGTTTCCGCCATCACCAGTCTTCTTAATCTTTCCGGGTATCTGGATAATTTAATGGGCAATAATTGCGGCGGCACCGGCGTGGTTCGAGACACCTACCCGGGCCTTGGAAAATGGCAACCTCGGCGTGATTCCTAACCCACTCGGTAGTTGCGACAAGGCAACTAAAGTTAAATTAACCAATACATCAGAACCAGCAAAATAGTACACGTCAAGCAAACAAAAAGACAAATTTTATTTTTAAGTTGAGATCAGAATTGAAACGAGGTATGAAATCAATGATGAAATTTAGCATTTGGCTTTCAATTGTGTTTAACCATGAATGGAAACTTTGAATCGAACATTTTAAGCTCAATTTTAGATTGCATAAAACACGTATGTTGTATTCTTAACAAATGTGAGGGATACTAGCCATATAATAACAAAAATTACAGGTGAAGCTAAGGCTCAATTAACCAGCGCAATCGCCTGTACCAAATGCATCTTGAGCGATGTGGGGTAGTTTAAAAAGGCCTGTTACCTAGGCCAGATTGCATTAGCCAAAGATAATTAGGCAGCTGTGATGTGAGGTGACGTAATCGCGGTGACGACAGAATCGGAAAAACGAAACTTTGTTAATAAAAACGTGGCTCGCCTTCCAACATTGCCGAGAACCCAGCACATAGCCCCCAAGTTGAAACGTATAGGCACAAATTTCTGAAACGTGCGCATTTAGTTGCTACGCATTTTCGGGTGAGAAATACCAGCGACCAAATTATTCGAAACTCATAACTCAACGAAGAGTGCGGCGTGTCAACTGAGGCTAAAAAAATTAGCCCTAATGATAAGAGCCACATTCGGGTGTCCAATCGAGAGGCAAAAACATTTTCACATCCGACGCGGAAAAAACGGCAAATTCAAGTCAATAACACCCGAATGATGGAACCGGGGGGTGAAACATGGACCCAATAATTCCTAAGGCAAAGCTAACCTGGCAACAAAACTACAGATGAAGAAACATTAAAAAACAATCAAGAATTGTCGAGGAGCCAAAAGGAAACATCAGCATAAGTGAGTGCAAGGTGATTCCGCTCGATTTTTAATTCGTCACATCCTCATCTTGGTTACACCAATTACTCTGATTTAATTTCAATCAGGCCTCACTTGGACAAAATACAGAATTTTGAGAGGTCATGACATTTTCAAAGTGGATCAGAAGTACTTGCATGACGCAAAACTCAAACCACTATCGAACAACTAGGTTGAAATGAACCAAAAGTGCTTAGTCCCGAAGCCGTTAAAAAGCTTAAAATCAGCAAAGTTAACTAGAAGGTTAATCGAAAACCGGCAATTAGTCTCAATTACCGCGATTAATGAAATACCACGCGAAAGCATAACATACGAAAGAGTATACTCGATTTCCCACGATCCCAAATGCCTAAAAATTTAATTAAATCATATAAAGTTCTCCTGTGAGCATATTTGATGGTAAGCCTGCGTGTCTTCTCACGGATGCATGGTGTAGCATAATCGTGAATCGAATAACCTGGTTTTTGTGCTATACTTAATTTGTGAGCAGTCTCAAGAGAGCTACGTAGGTCTCGTTCGTCGCGCGATTCCTTAAAAGAATGCACTCACGAAACGTTAACGCAAAAATGACCGGAAAAAAAGCATAACTCTTACATTTGGCGCTAAGAATAGTAGCCTCAATCGGGATTTACACAAGGAATGACGCAGAACGCGGGTACAATGACTGACACGTAAGATGGCGACGCTTGTCATAATTTGGAAATGCATGGTGGACACTTCTAAACAAACAACTACGTCAGCATCATCACAATTCAAAAGTACTAGAAAAAACGCTCTACCTGTAACTCCACTGCTGGTCGATTTGGCACCTATGCCATTGAGATGATCGTCAACGTTGACGTCGCCGTTAGTGGAGGAATGGCTTTCAGGTAACGTGGTGTGCTGGACATCGTCATTGCAGCCGCTGACTTGCTCTGGTACACCTTCTGTGCCGGCGGGAGTATCCTTTTCAGCAGATGGGGGAACGACCAACTCATTGAGAAGATTAGTGCCACATCCCAGTTGGAGCAAACGCATCTGAAAAAAAAATAACAGACGGAATTCCCTTGAATACATAAAACAGAAACGCAATCGGCCGCTCAAGGAGGAATTAACAAATCATGGACAAAGTTTCTAGTCAAATGCTTGACGTTGCGCCGCAATAAAGGATAAGGCCACTAATGTTTAGGTCGAACCAAAAAAACATGTCTGGACAATATGTCAAGTACCTGACTTAATCAGACTGGAAGCCTCATGGAAAAGTCAAAATCAGCGATACCTGGTTGAACTACATAGCCACAATGACGCAGACCCACTCTCACTGAGCATTTCGTTAAGTCAAACTGACAAAATAAATCTTTATCTCCCTCCATGAAATGTACTAAAAGTGAAAGCAAACAAGAGTCTTTTACGCGAACATCGGAAATTGAACAAAATTATAAGTGCTTGAGTAAAACAAGGGAGAAGAAATTACGACATCTAAAGTCAATATTGGCTTGTATCTATCAGAAAAACCATTACTACGTACAATGACAACATAAGCCAAGTTAGATCAGTCTTAAAACTTGCACTTAACCAACAAGAGCAAGTTAGCTATGTTGTCAGTTTTAAGAAAAATACGATTCAAGCCATGACTGCTTAGCATCACCTGGCTATGAAAATTCACCTAACGATCTTTTTGATTGACAGTGCAAATCAGTTCGTAGTGCAATCAACATACTCCAGGTTGAAATACAAATAATCACATTTTGTAAACGTGAGGAAGGCACCAAAAAACAACCAAATAGAAAGGGTAAATGGTGGAAGAATAAATTAATGAAAAAAAAGACGCAAGTACAGAATACGAGCACGCGAAGTATTTCAGGCAGAAACTCATCCTGCGGTACTTTTGACAGCCTATGAGGCATCAGCGTAACAAACCTGTTTAATTACCACGTGTTAGGATTTTATGGGACGTTTTTTAAAGAGTTGAGTTCAGGGCCACTCCAGTTTACTACACACCCCCGTTATAAGAGCAAAACACGGAGCCTCATGACAACGAAATTAAGGCTAAATAATGTCAGTGCATACCTGCACCGAAGCTTTAAAAAACTGTTTACTGTCAAACATGTGCAATGGCACCCGATTACTGCAGAAAGGAAACTTAGGAATAAACGAATGCAGGCGAATTGAATATCTTGCCCACTTACAAAAATGAGGTGTCAGTACACAAGGAACAATATTTGGGACGAGTTACACATTTTGGGCTTTTGGGGAAAAATAACTTGTTTGTCAGATTGCAAGGCAGACCAAGTAAAGAGCTGAAAACAATAGTGACAAGCAAAAAAATGCCACGATGGATATTTAAGGGCCCGTAAAATTCCGTATGAAAACCTTTAGGACAGCATATTTGTCAAAAAAAAACTATAATTTACTCAACAGGACTACTAGTTAGATTGTTTATGTAGAAGCTACACATGGTTACACACACGTAGACTAGTTTGCGTGCAGCCGAACGTACCTATGTAAATGATAAACGACTGCGTTTTACCTGAGTTTGACAGGCACTTATGACGCGTTTCATGAGATACCAGGCCTCGGGTATGGTCGACGCTGCTACCGTGACACCCTTATTGCGCAAAAAGAGAATTTTGCCACTTCCGAGGTCCGCACGAATGGCATCAGCTTCGGCGCTGTCAGTAACTATCCCAGCGTAGTTGTGATAGCGGACTGTTGGCAGCAATTCTGCGGCCTCTGGACTGACTGGGAGAAGACCCGATTTGATGCACGAGACCTGCGAAGTAACACAAAACATTACGCAGTTTAATTTTCTGTTAAAAACTACGGTCGCAAATCAGACTAGATGTGACACAGAAGATATAGACAGCACAAGTATGGTGTCATTCAAACATCATGTATGTGCGTATTCCCACCAGACGAGATGGGAAAACACCATCCGAATGCTTTGAGTGTGGAGTTTCCCAACAAACAAGAAATTGTCCAACCACGTAAACGTACAAACGACTTCCACATTTGAAAACACTTGAAGCAAAAAAGGCAAAGAAATAATAGATTCGGCAACTGAGCCACGCTGCACCATAAGACTGAACCAATAATACTCACGACCCACTTAACAAGTAAAAAAGGCACTGTGAAACACGACTAGGCAACAATGCTGCTTAGTTGTAGGAGCAAAGTAAATCAATTCAAAAGCACATTTCGAGCAGGCCAAGAATGAAGTAGATTTTGTTGTGTGTTTGTGGTGCACCTGTCGAGAAGGTGAATCCAAACGCCACTAGAGCATACACTTGTGGGATTCCAGAAAAGAGAGTGGAAAGCCATTAACTAGAATTCATTGAATTCGCGTCGAATTGAAAAGTAGTAGAGTCAGTCATCTATGATGAAAAAGATATCGTTGTCCAAGCTACGATAGCCAACAGACGCACGCCCACGGTGACAGGATTGGTTGCTAAAGCCGATCAATTTTCAAAGGGAGTACGCAGCGCAAGGCAGATGGGAAGTAGGAAAACACGTAAAGATAACATAACAACAGAAAAAAACAGACGAATACGGAATATGTTGAGTATTTGAACGAAATATAGCCACAGGTCATTCTAGACTACCAAGTTAGTTTAGTGGAGGATGATGGTTTATGAAATAAAATGATGATCCAAATAACTTGTGGATTTAGTTTTCAATGATGTCGGCTACCCTAATCGAAGAATCAACAACACAAAAAATACTAGGCTGAGATCTGTAAACAACTGCACATGAATGCAAACGTGGACAAACAACGACCGCTTGCGTAACTCTTAGCGATCCATCAAATACATGGAAAGCATGAACTTAATCTAATCTGGATTAAAAGGTTACGGTCATGCGTCTATGCCGAGGAAAGGGGTCATCTAGAATAAATGAATACCAGTGAAACAATGAAAACGCACGTAGTACGCGCCACGTGCCAGTGCAGGTATTCAGCAATGGCAATAAGTAAAGAATATTCAGAGCAGAGCCAGCCGATTTAAACGAAAAGTGAATTAAAATACTTCCAGCAAAGACGGCAACAAGTGTAAAACTCAGTCATAAAAATAAGAAACTTTTTCCAAGGAGAACAGAGGTAAAGATAAAAAAAATGGCACTAGAGAATGGACATGGGCACTACATGAGCAGTTAAATAATCCCAGTAAAAATGCTGCAGTATCGGTGGCACATGGTTGTCAATATTTAAACAGTTGTAAATCAAAAAGACGGTGAAGAAGCAACTTCAAATTAGACAAATTCACATTGTTCCACACTACATAAAACGCCAGCAATGGTGTGCAATTTCATGTTCGAAATGAAGACATTAATGAAACATTAAGCTGAAGTTAATCACCTAAACCGTTAAAAAACAACAATAGCCATTGTAGATGGTGCATTACTACATACATTTCACAAAAAAATGCGGTCGACAATAAAGTACAACTAAGGTTCGTTTCAAAGAGGATTAAACTATATTAACTTCCAAGCATAACGTATTTATACGATTTACGCATTACAAAAGTGCAGCAAACGTGCCCCGAAAGGCTCATATTTTACTTTAACAAAATTGTTAAAAATGGCAAAAAAATCTATTAAAGTGAACAATGAGTAAATACTATCATTTAAATTCGGTTAAAAATCAACATAACAAGTAAGGCATGTTTGTTTGGGGTAAATAAATAGCCGTACAACTTAGTCCTGTGGATTGGGAGTAAATAATAAACGACTTGCTTTAATGACTGAAACAATTGGCATTCAGCCGAAAATTTAAAAATGCAGTCATTAAAATTATTTCGAGTTACGAAGCGAAAACAACAGGAGCCTCTAATGAATTTATATGACACCGTTACCGATGACATTAGATAATAGTAAAGTTAGAACCATAGGGCTAAAGTCTTCGTCCGTTCACTTATGGAACCGTAATTGTTGCCTCCAATATGTTTACTTGGCAATGGTTTACAGGCGAAAGAGAAGCAAACACTTTGTTATAATCAAACTGTTTGTCGTGTCAAGTTGTAGCTTAGGAAATTCGTACGGTGTGCGAAGGTTTCAGTAACAGACGAGAGTAAAAGGATTGGCTTGAAAATTTTAGAAGCTGAATATTAGCCTCAAAGAAGCGCTTCGTTTTGGCCATTTGAATAAACCTGATGAAGACTATTTGAACGCACTTAAAAAGATAAGGGGCGAAATACTTCGTGGGAGTTACCGGAGCAAGAGAATGGTCACCAGAAGACCATTAGCTGCCACCTGGAGTCATTGTATAAGGACCGACAGATGTGAACGTGCGTACAATAGACACTAAGTGAAAACCGAAATGCCGGCGATTCACGATTGCGAGAAATCATGCCGCTACGCAGATGTAAAGCAGATGAAGGCGTTGGGAGAGGTACTGAAACGTCGGGAGTTAAACTGGATTCTCGTCCTCATGAGAAGTTAATTTGCGTGTAGCGGGAGCGTGTGTGGGCCTTGCCTTATCACCTTAAGGATTCATGCGAGGAATCAGACAGCAGATCAGTACCTCTCCACTGTCAAATATCGTCTGAACAGGGTTAGTCAATGGAAGCGACCTGATCGACACCAGTAGCTTGTACTGAAGGATGACAATGGCGAAACGCGAACTATTAAACTCAATAAGGCAACAACCAAAAAGCTCTGATGGATTCTGATGCATCCTCCGTGTAGTCAAAACTTCATTTCCTCTGGAGGCGACCATTTTAACTCGAGTTCAAGTAAGTGCAAGGTATGAATAGCGATACCAAGAATTGGTTTGACGACTTCGTGACTTGGGTATATTTTTGTAAATTGAGACTAGTGGCATTCTTAAGAGGATACTATTTGCTTCATTTACTGCTTATTCAAGATACTCAAGAATTGATGGAAATATGTTTAGCAAACACCAAATCTACAGATGCCGTCTTATGAGTAAGTTACTTACAGCGACCACATCAGGAAGATGAATATGGGCTACACAATTAACGTCATCTCGAGTACTGTGAACTGCTGAGTGCAGGCACCATCCGGCTTTGTTAACGCCCAAAACTGTGCTCCCAGGGTCCAACACACTCCCTGAAAATGAAAAGAACTGATAGATGTGGTGTGAAATAATGGAACAACACGTTGAGAGAACAAAAACTGCAACAACTATTCACTTTGATCATTCTCGCTTCCTTTGGACGTGGCTTCACAATGAGCTGAGCTGATTTGGCTACGTGCAAAGTCCTTCAGAGGGTTGGCGAAATCAAACATATGTGTGCGAGACCTTCTAAACAATGCACGCACATACGCGTACGTAAGCCCGAGTGTTTCCAGTTGTTTTCAACTGGCCGCCAATAGCTTTAAATGATAACTTGAACATACAGACGGTGAGCTAGGAACGTGACGTGTTGCAAGGTTGATTCAATGCGGACCGCAGTTGGCTTGAAAGCCAACTTATGACGATTATGATTCCGGTCGTTGACGTGGTATTTTAGATACGTTAGGGCAATAAATACGATACATTTCGACAGCGAACGCGGATCTTAAATAGGCAAGACATGTCTGAAGTTCTCCGAAGACAACATATAGCTCCCTACTGAAGTCATTAGAGGAGAAAGGAAATAACTGGGCAGTGATATTGCAGGTTTTAACCGATAATCTTCATCACTCATTTTAGCCAATAAAAATCATATTTAACCTTCATAGTTTAGTGAATTAGTTTACTTAAACGTGATCAGATTTTCCAGAGTTCTCAGTTGTTTTCAAATGATCACCAATAGCATTATCGTAAGAGCAAATGGCAAGCCGAGGTGAGTGATATAAGTCAGGCGCATAAAATGTAACGAATTGACCAAAGGCTAATTTCAATGCCTTACTAACATCTAAAAATGGTGACTAGCAGTATGGAAATGTGAAATTTACTTCAAGGATATCAGCGATTAATTTCGTGTGAATTTCACGAATACGAAATACTCTTTTAATACATGAATTGAGATGGCAACAAGCACGGAATTTACAAATCGGAGAGGGCATATTTCTACTGCATTACACGAGAATTGAGGATAATGGGAAATCGGTTTCATGATAAAAATTACCAATCAACTTCTGCGGATTACACGAAGACTAATTTTTAATCATTTGATGAATCATGACATTTGAGATCCATCCCGAAAAAAACTATTAACAGAAGGTTGAAGTAAGAATGAGAAGTTGCAAAGGTGCCAGCGCGCGCACACACACAGACTTATTAGAGGGAGAAAATGCATCAAAAAACACGTCCTGTAAAAATGCGCTAATGTACCAGCGATAAGCAGAAAGAACTGCTTAAAATTCATGACTGAATATTCTACATAGGTGAGAAACAAGCATGACGAACATCAAGGCCGCAGCCAACAAAATACTACGATAAGTTTGAACGAGAACCGATCAGGGGGTTACGAGTGAAGGGATACACACATTTCGCGTAGTATTAACGTACCGTAACCGTATAAACACTAGCGCACGATCCCACACACAACCAACTGGTATGGCCAAGTGATCGGTTCAAGTTAGCTTTCGGTGTTTTATAACGTACCATTACAGATGTTAAGTTTCGAGGCAATCTTAAATTATGCAATCAGCCTACCTAGCATTAAAACGACAAAACAGTACTATGTAACGAGGATAAACGTGATAGCTCTACGATTGAAAAATTACGAGAGACGTTATTAATAACGCTTTAAACAAAAAGAGGATTATTTTTAAAGCAATAAGGACGAAGACAACCCCAAATGAATCCATGGCGGTACATTTTGACTAAATTTACATCTGTGCTTTTATATAGATACACAGTGAAGGTCAAAAAGGAGCTAATAGTCGATTCTCGAAAGATGACAGAAGGAAAACCTACCAAGCGTAAGTTACCACATGGAAAACAGACTTACATAGAGGCAACGGGATAGAAGTTTGAGTTAAAATAAAAAGGGCGATTCACATAAATACAGCCCTACAATAACAATATACACAACAGGAGCCACGGCACACAACTATGAACGAAATTGTAACATTTGCTAAATCGGTAACACATTTCCTATGACGTATAAGCCAAGAAATTGCATGCCTTCGTTAAGAGAAAATAAGCAATGCGCAACGAGTGCATACATTAAGAGATAGCGAGAAAACACATGTTTGTGTGACTCTACTTAGCTACCACTGAATGTACAGTGCGTGTACGTACCAACGCAGCTGCACAACTAAAATGAGCATTCATCTACGTAGTTGCGCGACAAAGCATTTAAAGAACGCAAACAAGCGTTAATCGCAACAGGTATCTACAACGCAGCAAACCAATGGCTGCTTTGCGAAATCTCTTTACTTGATACATAAAGCAGGTAACGTGTGTTGTCGTGACTAAATACGTGGCTACTAACTCCAAACGAATCAAACGTAAAGATAAATTTAATCCAAAAAGTATAAAAGTAAGAATGGGGCATAAATTCAAAAAGATTCGTTATATGTAAGCAAATATTGTGACTATCAGTTTGATCGGCAGAAATTAATCTGAAAAAACTGCACACGACTTGAGCGATTTGGGTTATAAAGTGCCTCTCGAGGTCGAGTAGAAGGTGGGCGACTTGGTTCATGGTAAGGGTTAGTTATGCCTTACGCGAATGTGTGGAAATTAGCTACACGAACATTTCTAAATAATCTGAACGCCTTACTTAATGATTGACCTCTTCAGTAAATGTGAAATTTTAGGACAAACCCTTGGAGGGTTATATGGATGCATTAAAAAAGGAATTAGTTTCAATACATTATAACAAAACAATACAATACATACAATGCAACTAGACAATACAATACATTTCAATACATTTAAACTAGAAACATTTCAATATCAAGAAATTAGATAGCAGATTTTATGAATCCCATGACCGAAAATATCAAAAAAATGATAAAGGAATTAGCTCACCGTGTTCATTTACCTTCACCAGGGTTGATGCCTGTACTTCATGATAGAGAAGTCCGAAGGGATTGATCAGGTACTCTCCTTGAGAACATTTTGCCTATGAAATGACAAAGGAATGAAAACTTTGTATCACCTGAGTAAGAAGATACTGTTAGCGGGTAAACGTTAGGCAAAAATTTTCAGTGCATGAAAACAGCTGAGCTCAAACCATTAAACCAGATAAAATGTTGTATTGAGGCACTTAAGAAAAGCCAATAAAAATATTTGGTATCGGCAGGTTTGTGTAACACTACACCGACTACCTGCCATAAAAAAAAAATACCAATATTTTTGGCAATCTACACATTTGACGAAATATTCATTTACACTCAAAATCCTAAATAGCAAATTAAAGAAGCATCTGAATGAAATCATTGACTAAAAAGACATCTATTCAATGCATTTAAAGAAGAATGAATTTCGATACCGATATGTGATTGTAAATAGACTGAGTCCATCCATTGAGGTCGATAAGTCGACATAAGGCCGCAATCTGACATCGGATTAATCGTTCTTCACGCGTATACCTGGCGGCCTCGTCTCCCCGCAAGTCATTGATTGGAATTGTCGGTGTAGTACCTGTCGGTAAAGAAAATAATTCATTTTGACACAGGAAGCAAACACGAACTATGGTCAGCAAAAGCAGAAAATTTCTAAAGTTTAAAGCATGAGGGTATCTACAAAGCAACTTTCGCAAAGAGAAAGACCGGTGAGAATGTGTACATAAATATGCTCGAAATTATGTATTTGTTATAAAAAATAATCGTGAAAGGTAATTGCGGGGAATCCTGCACAAACCGCAGAACGTATGGCTAGATCATATTAAGGACAACATAAAGATTGTATAACCATCTGACCATCGGGCAGCTAGCAGCTAGAAACAGGATAACGTGAATCGAGACCGAAAAGAGAGCAAATCGATGAGAATGAAGAGAAAGGTAACGAACCACCAAAGTCGTTCATTGGCCTTCCAGCCACATGCATATTTAGCAGCTCATTCAACTGTTGCAATGCTCCTTTTGCATTCGAATTACCAAGTAGACGAGCATCAGGTATGGAAAATGGCGTTGAATTGCATTGTTTACGCGAAGAATTTTCTTTCGCATCAGGACCATCACCTGATAAAATTTTCGAATTGACTTGCTGCGCCATGTAAGTGCTAACTAATAATTACACCAAAAAGAAAGTGGAAGTACGGAAACACGATGTATCAAGCCGACTATACACCACTACTGCAAACGACGTCAAAACAGGCGGTCCCCGGCATTTCAATGCTGATTAAAACACAATAAGAAACTTATTAGTTTTTTCTATTATGGCTATTTAACGTAGTTTAAAACTGTTTACAAGTAATAATTAGTACAAAACATAGAATAGAAGTATAAGTATTAATATCGGACTCCTTCAAAAGGTCCTACAAAATATTTAAAACTCTTGACCTGATTGTGCTTATTCCCACCATTATAATCAAAGTAACTCCTTCAACCAAAAAAAATCAAATCTGGTTTTAATTTTGTGGTATTTCGTTTTTGATATGATTGCTTGGTGTACGGTGAAACTTGTACTGCGATTACCTTTCGACCTCCAATCTCTCCCGTTACGTCACTTTGATTGTTATACTGTAAATTTTACGTCAATGGTAAATATTTTAATCAATTTTGCTACATTCTTTGCTTTTAAGGCATATATTAATCGATACATCATAACCCGATTCTGATTCAAATGAGTGAATATCGGGCGACGAATATTCAAACTCATGGGATTTTCTTTGGATATATTGAAATTGTTTTTATCGCAGGTGACTATAAACGTTTTATGCTTACAAAATAATGCATACGTTTTCATGGATGATCCATTCATCTCACCCTGAATATTATTAGGTTGGTTGAATTCTCTTCAAAATGTACTTTTTGCTAGGGGGAGAATTATTTAAAATAAGGCCATTGTTGTAAACATTTTTATTTTAGAAATACAGAGTCAGTTGAACTTTAAATATCACTTACTGTGACACCTACTACCACACGCGACAGATTTTCCTTTCTGCAGATGTTGCTTTTGCAATCAGCCTTGTCATATTTATATCATATGGAAGTTCAGCAACTTGTGATTGAATTTGGTGTCCTAAATGAGGGAATTTAAACTATCGAATCATACTATATTTTTAATTAAGAAGGGAACATTGTGTCAAAATCAACTCATATATTAAACAATTATCTTGGTCACCAGAAAATGCTCATGGGAGGTATTGATGTAGAAAATTATCGAAATTTGTCACGCTGCAAAATAATCTAAGCATGTTCTGACAGAGTGGCAAATTAGTTTAGAAGGAAACCGACCATTGCTTAGTTTCGACTCATTAAAATTAATGTAGCTCTCAATAAGTCAACAAACCCGTTATGCATCGCAAAATTTTGGGTGCATAATTATTTAATCAACTATTTCTTTGCTATACAGGAACTTATACGACTTATACAACGCTTTATACCTTCCGATTTCTAGGTACAATTGGTGATCCCGTGAAAGGACAATATAGGCTACCCCAAATCAGATTCCTTTTCCGCATCACCTCTGGATTGTGCAGCAATAAGCACGCTTGTCAACAACTTGCGCATAACTTGCATTTAATCATTTTAAACGCTATGAATCAATCTCTGTTCCCAGATATGCACGGCTAACCTTTTCCAGTAGCAAGGGATCACTTTTGAGTGAAAACAAAAAATTGGTTTGTCAATCGCTAATATGAAAAAAAATTTCCATGAGAGGTGGCATCAATATGTCAACTTTAGCCTTTCGGACCTGTCTACGGTTTTGAGACAATTCAGTAAATATATAGGATTGTATGTTTTATAACATCAGCACAATAAATAATTTGATTACGGCAAAGTATACATGATTATAGGCCAGAATCAAAACCAGCGTTTTGGTACAATGCTCGGAATAACAGATATAACAGTGTGATAAGGAGGGTGGCAACTGAAGGACGAAACCGGAGAAATGCACGATCACTGGTGTTAGCAAAATAAAAGTGATTGGAAGCACACATAGGTGGTGACTAGGTGAAGCCTTCTAAAGCTCCGCAACTACAAGGACTGTAGTTTGAGAACAAGCGCTCGGGTAAATGAGGCCGCTGTCAGTGCTGAATATGGTTGCCAACTGGTCATGCCACCGGATGCCTCAGTTCCCTGTCGACCTTCCGCGTAGTCTGCAATTCCACGTACAACCAGGAAGGACGCGATTCCGTTTCCGAGAAGGGATTCAAGGACTTGATCAAATTCTGCATCGTAAGCTAGCAGCTGCTGATTGATGGCAAACATCTCTCGTAAGCCATGGCATTGCGTGACTGCGTGCCCCGAACCAATACAACCAAAGCGGACAAGCGGAGGTTGAGGCAGTTCTGCTGGAGGCTCAGGATGCTTAACGTCAACCGTCATCTCATCACCAATCTAGTTTAAAGAGACCAAAACAACATATACTAATTAGATTTACCAAGTCTTGTTTTATTTCATTGTGATTTACAGGCATCCATTTATGCGATATTTTCCGAATGTCTCGTCTCAAATTAGACCAAGAACTTTCAGGTCCTATATCATACATAAGGATTGTTTTATTGTTCTGGCTAAATCAAAAATGGTTCGGTTGCAGAAACAGGTTTTGTTCTAACATTGCTTTCGAAAATTTGCAGCTTATTTGCAACGATTCAATGTAAGTATCAGACTTTGGTCGATGCGAATGCCGCAAGACGCACAAGTCGTTTAGCTGCAAAACAAATCTAAACCACCGACGTACCCTGGTGCTGGACAATGCAGCATGTTAACGCGAATTTTCCGTGTCTGTTTACACAAAACACGAAGGTGCGCTTTTCAACGAGGCTGCTTAGCTAAAGTCTTGGACCTTAGGTCCAACAGAAATTTCTCTATCATTCCTTTTCACATCAAAGCACTGCAAAAACACTGCGAGGTATGTACCTTTGGAAGAAAATTGGCGAGAACTCTTAACGAGATGGTTCGAACAACGAAATTAAAGATTTACCGACATTTTAAGGAAGCTACTAAGGTATACGGCTGAAAAATATCAGACTTGCTATTGCGTATCTAAAGATTGCATATTGGAAAAGTGTACGAAGATTGTTGAATAACGATTAATGACGCAACAAAAAAATGGGAATCAGTATTTCCTATTCATTTACAATTACCAAACCATTCTAAGCTATAACCTGCTGTTTCACTACATCCAATGACAACATTTCTACATGTAGTGGCAACATTTTTTATTAGATTAGGTTATGGAATGGCCCAAATGCATTTTCCGGTTATGAGCTATGAGAATTGAGTTCGTTGATCGGCAAATGTCCATTTCCCATGATATAACACAAATTCATCGCCAAACCAATAGGCTTTAAAATAATTTACACGACTGGGATACAGGGTGCTATCCAGTGGTGTTGTATGTGGATAAGACTCAGGTGTAGCTGGTTCTCACCACGGACAATTTGTTCTATCATCTCACAAGACATGCAACAAAAAGAGTTGGACAATTTGACAAATTATTCACCATTATTTGCGGTAAATGGATCAGAAGTAATACAAAACTTGTCCAGACCATCCGAGCAAATCGGCGTTAATGACAAAATGGGCCTAATAAAATCACTAGCACACGACTTAAGAAGAAAAGTGGAGTCGAGCAAAATTAGTAGGTGGGACCCATCAGCCTACGAGTGGACTCACCTGAATTTTGAGTTTATCCGTCTCCGGAGGTGGTCGCGTGAAATCGAATTCGTGGTCCTTGAGGTTGCCTGAGGCCTCCTTTATAATCGAATGCCAGGACGTGGGACTGGCTTCGGCCAGAGCTTTGGCGCAGTTCAGCAACACGGGGTCCTTGGGGGCGAAGTTCTTATGTGCAAACACGACGGGCTGTTGGTGGGCTTCAGCGTTGTCGGCAACGGTGGAGGTCCCGTTGAGTTCAACTACCTTCTCGCAAAAGACATACCACGGCTGGGGAGGGCCAGGGGGCTCACACTGGGCGTAGGAGGAGGAGGAGGAGGCGGGTGCAGAGACGACGACATCGCCAAGGCGTGAGTGCTTGTCGAATTCGTAGACGTGGGGCACGCCACCGCCAACTCCCGCAAGAATTACGTGTTGGATTGACTGGAAGGTACCTGGCAGAACATGAAAGTAAAGTGAGTTGGCATGATTAAGATGGAAGCTGCTGAGCGGTGTTACTACCACCAAATTAAGGGTCAATATTTAATGAAAAGAAGTCAAAAGTTCTTTTATGTTTTCTTCTAAAAAAGAAAAAGAAAACATACCCAAAAGTCGAGTAGTAATGCTGCCAGATGAAATTTTAGCCTGGAGTTCCCAACCAACCATGGGTAACTTGACAGAAATAACCTTCACGGAGCCAATATAGCCAATTGTGTACACGTTGGAGTCACCTGCAATAGAAGCAATGGTCTAATAATTAAAAGTAGAATATTTTAGCCACGAAACATAAGACTAAGCGCATCAAAGGAGACTTCAGAAATCGACTGATTAAAATGCAAATGGCGTGGAGCTACTTTTCTTTACATACCAACACGAACTACAAAGTACAAAATGCGGGAACCATCTACAACTACAACAGGTAGTTCCAAGTTGCAAACTAATGAACAAAGTAAGAAAACTTTATCTAACCATTTCAGCACTTGCCTTCGGTCTTGTATCGGATGTAGGTGGTCTTACGTTCGATTAAGGCATCGACTGCCAACTTTTCGCAAAGGAGATTCGTTATGATAGCAACCGTTGGTTTCTGTTCATCAGAAAGGGATTTAAGTTTATCGGCACCGGCAATGACTTCAACTGTAACGGGGAATCAAAGAAAACATAGTTACAATTGGAATGAGCCTAGTACTAATTTAAATGTGAACAGTGGTAAATGGTGAGTTAGAAGATTATGTTTGTATTAAAGAGATTTTCACCTAGAAAGGTCCTAAACACGTGCTTGACAGACGCGGCGACATGGCGCTAGGACATTTTGTCAGCAATTATGACTCACTAGGTTACTGAAATATAAAAACTTCGCTAAATGGCGCCTTGCCTGGGTGTATTCGTATAACCAAAATAGGTGATAGGGATAGATGTTTAAAAAGGACGCACCCTTGTGAAGAACATGGAGTTTGCGTCGATAGCCCATCTTCTTATCGGTGGCACTCTCGATACAAACTGGTTGTATGACGTTAGTCTTTTCAAGCTCCTCCAGTTGTTTAACAAGCAGACCCGTGTCATCCACGTTGGTGAGGCTACGAGAGGGAAAGAGAGAATTCAAGACTAAGAGAAACTGTACAAGTTCAGGCATCTTGGTTGAGCGGATGTTAAAAACAAACAGAAAAGCTGGTAAAACAAGTTGGCATCAATGTTGAGGGATTAAGGTCGCCTTTTTTACAGGTGTACATATTGTAGCACAAAACGCAACAAAATCTCTATTAACTGGACGGTTCTGGGTCAAATATTTACTAGATCAACCCAAAAGAGCAAATTATACGCCACCTTTAGCTCCACACAAAGGGATATTATGCCGAATTTGAGTTGATTCCTCAATAATAGCACACGAAAACAACTACCCATTGGAAAGCAAACAACGCTTTTACTACTAGATAGATGCTACAAAACAGCGCGGACCGAAATCTAGGAATAGAAATCAGGAAATTTTATTGCAAAATAATTCCACTGATGCTGGTCGTACTAAAAAGGCGAGATTCAACTTTCCACTTGCAGGGGAAACTAAGGTTCTGCAACCAACACAATATCAAACGAAATCCAAAATGAGTTGCACTGGAATACTCAAGAAGTGGCAAGAGTTATGTTGAAAAATAAGGCATGGTAAATCGAGTGAGTCCACTGAAGACAATACATTTGTGGTGTCGTAAAGGGGTAACGGACTGTGACCCAATGAGAACTAACACCTATAATAAATAGAGGATATTACATCGCAAAAAGCCGTAAAAACTGGTTACTCCATATCACAAATAGTAATCCGTACAAAATATGATATACCCTCAACTCACATACCCGTTTACAGAGATTTGCTCGTAGCAATTTGCAGTTTCCATGCCAAATTCTGTTGATATTTTTTCTAATCATACAATGTATCACTTTTACATCACGAATTTTTTCATTCCTTACGAAGACTTTTAAGACGAATTGGCTATTTTCGAAGTTATGCAATTAGATAGGTGTACTTCATCGTTCTCCTTTATGACTTTCGACCTATAATGGCGGATCCGCCGGATGGTGACCCTATCCGCGATCGTCGTCAGCAGACGCATCGGAACAATCCGACCAATTAAAACAATGCTCCAATAATTCAAGTACGTACAGTTAGCAAAATAGTGGTCAAACGACACTACACATTGATTCAGAACTGTGGCCATAGGCAAAGGCAGGAGGTAACAGAGTGAAGGTGGCATGGCGTGAATGAGTCATTTCCCATTCAGAGGGAAAAGAGCTATAAAAACGATGCTCCGGTGTGTTTTGATGATATAGTTCAAGTAAAACCACAGCCAAACCGACCCAAATGGGGATTTACGATATGACGTTGATTTCTTAGCGAAATCAAATCCGGGTGTGTGGTAACTGACCATTAAAAGCCCAAAATACTTAACCCCTTACGCGAGAGCATGTGTTTTTAATACCAGCTAACCGCAATTTCTAACTGATCTTTCTTCAAGCTTGTCGGATGTGTACCTGATTAATGACTTCAAATCCACAGCCACAGTATTGGTTGAAGGCGACTGGGTTACACACAATGATCGAATATGTGTGAGTGGAGGGGGGGGGGTGCAAATTAATGACTTGGAAAGCTCGACCAATTTTAGACGCTCTCATTGACAACTCCTGAGGAGAACTGATTGGGCCGGCGAAAGACCGATTCAAGGGGCAATCACACACACCAAGACAAAAGAGCGATGAGCACGTCACGCGTCTGTCCAGAACTGGCGTTGGAGGGGCCGAACATTAACTGATGACAACTGATACACATCGAATACTTGTTCAGGTTAGAATTTGCGCTCAAGTGGAACATACAGCGTGCAGTGACAACGCCTATGTTACGAAGGCTTTGGTCAAAAAAGGAGCACACTCCACGATGCGCTAAATAACTAGAGCTTCAAAGTGATTTCCAAGCTCAATTAGCCAGTTATGCAGTTTCTGGTAAAAATAATTTCAGAAATAATGTGCAGATTAGACGGACTAACAATCGCAGCATTGAATAAAATGGCTCTAGCATATCTAGAAAAACCTGAAATTTCGTGCAAGATTGCACAAGAGATCAGAGATCTGCTACACTCTGGCCAGCAGCTTATTACCCACTTGGACGACAGATGACAAATGTAATGCGTATTGCATAAGACTGCACAAAGAGTAATGTCAGACTTACCGGATTAGATCGTCAACCGAGAGCACGTTTGGGTAAGCATCTTCTAGGGTCCTGAGAAGGCCCTCGCGAACCACAATCTCCACGGGTCTTCGATCCACTTCTAATGCAAAAAAGCAACAACCACAATCAAATGTAAGAGACCCAAAACACGGCCAATAAGTATTTAGGTAAAGTCGTCTTTTCGCAAACTGCAGTCTTTATCGAACATCACAGGTCGAAGAAAATCTAACAATAGGATGGATGCAGCATCACTTTGAAAATGTTGGATTTAAGGCAAAACTGCAAACCGCCGAAGTCTGCTTATGAATGGCATATTAAAATTACGCAAGGGGAGTGAGATGAATCGAGCTTTCCAAAGTCACAAGTTGTACATTGTGTACCTAGTTTAAGGCACGTTTAATTACCAAACGACGGCTAAAACAAACCCTCAATAGCGAACAGTGAAAAACTGAGGGTGGCATGCGTAAGAATAAAATAACTACTGGAATAAAAGTAGGAATACATTTGAAAAAAAAACTATTATTAAGCTCGGTGTAAAAGCAGCAGGCAATGAAACGATATAAAAACTTGACCTTTTGCAGAACCTTTACTTTTTGTGGCACATTCGAAATGACAAATGGTTTAGCTTGCATGCGTGTATGTAGGCGGACCCCGCTAACGCTAGGCCAAGAATAACAAGAATCGCTCGCATTTTCTGCAGCAAACTAAACACAAATGCGTTTATTTGTTTTAAATAAATTTAATTTATCCGAAAGTTTCCCCTTAAACATGTCAAAATTACGTGAGGTACGAAGGTGAATTTCACACCAATGTGGCTGAGGAAAAGGCCAAACGATGAACACTACCGAAATGACTGGACATCAATGAGGTGTTTGGTCTCGTAATCAAGCGCTCGTCAGAACTTGTTTTCTCGGCTATTGTATTCTGCCAGATTTCCCCTAACTGAAGATTGTGCTTTCACAGTGCAAGGTAAAAAGAAGTTGAAAATCCAAGATAGCCACCCGGTAGAAAAGGCAGAATAAATGAAAGCAGAAGCAAAGGCGAATTCTAGGGAACACGAGTCGAATAGCCTCGACGTAAGTGCCAGCCACAACGAGATTACAGACGGAAACTGCTCGATGCGTGGAAAACGTGGTTTAGCGTGAAGCGAGGTAAAACGTTTGATTCGTAAAATTTAGGAACGGAAATTCTGCCCGCTGCTTGAACGTATTCGAAGTTTCAACCGATGTCACTGAGGAGCATGAAAGACTTCACACAAATTGAAGTTCTATGTCATCAAACGGTACGATTAAAAATGCTTTGTAAGTTTCATAATTTTACATTTCACAAGAATGAAACTGCCGTAAATTTAAAAGGAGAGAAAAAAAATTAAAATTTCTTTGGTTGTCACGATTCTACCGGTGGCTGGGCTGATTCAAAGTCTTGAAATTGGTTAAAGTGCACTTGAAACGTGTCGGAAGTTCAACCCGTAGTCAGTATTCACAAAGGAAAAAAAACGTGAACAACACTGACTAACCAAATGCTTTAATTAAGAACGACTACGTCAGGTGACCAAAGCTATTCGAAATGCTAATGACGCTTTGTAAAGTAGAGAATCCGCCCACACACAATAGTTTGGAAACGCGTGTTCGATTTAAGAAGTAAAGCCCGGAGAAGAGTGCAAAACAAAGCCAGCAGTTGGCTTTAAAGTGGTGCAGTCGAAAACCAAAGACGTTTGCATTGCCGACGCCAACTAAACGTGTTCCACCATAACTAATTCATCACAAGGTGGTCAACTAGAGCAGGTCAGGAATGTCATTAACCTGTGCATCAAGGGCTCCCACGAGCTCACAGATTACAAAACGTCCGAACAGCACACAAAGTTGATGAGGCAGAACCATGAGTCACATGGAGGCATGTGCCAAGATCTCGACGGCGGCTGTTTCGGGACTTCATAAGCAAACCCCGGCAGCTCTTCAAGTGTGTGCCATTAAACTGATTATACCGGCATCAGGGTACTAGGTAATGAAACAACGCGGAAAACCATGAGGATTATCACATTTTCAAGATGTCGTTTTTGCGAAATTTAACCATTCAGCTCTGTAATCTTTCCGATGCTTCATTGGAATGACGGTCGTTCAATCAGATTTGACGTTTAGCCTCAAAACCCAGTTAAATGCAAAATTCAATCGGTTTTTGTGAGTTGATGCACTCCAGAGGTCAAAAGTCCTACAAATAAGAGTGTACACCACTCCAATTGCCCAAGTTTCAGTTCAAAGATACTAATCTGAATAAAACAGCACATGTGATTAAAGAACAACCCAAGGCTCCTCCTAACCAGAGGGATCAAATCTTCTAGTCACCTTTATTTAAAGTAATTGAACACGCGAAAAATGTCGAGTAGTAAACCCAAAAAATGGGCTGATGTCTGTGCGTAGGCGGCAGATTGTTTCAAGCGACAAAGTACACATTTGTCGTCGCATGATATCCTTTTGCAAAAGACACGATGACCGAGTGAGCAACACCTCTACAGAACTAGTGGCGAGGATCCCTGCAAAATATGCATTAGCGAGACGCAAAGATACACATAAACTTTTGCCACGAGACAAAAAACACTACACCTTTACATTAGATATGCATTCACTCTAGAGGGAACACAAGCGGCAAGTGCAGACTCATGAAATTGTACCAAGACAGAAACACAAGGCTGGCAAATATATCCCATGTTGGCTGCAGAGAGAGATTAAGGCAGGCAAAGCAAATCTCTATAACATTGCCTGTAAGGCGTTCCATCACAGAAAGTAAAAAAGGCAAAAGGACACGGGGAAAGTTCACATTGAGTTAGTTTGGATTTGGCGCGCTGGGGCAAAGGAGGCGACAGACAAAAAACAGGCCACCGACTATTCAAGCAGACAAAAGCTGTGGATTTATCAGTTTGGTAATCATTTGAGGCTTCAAGACACAAGGGAAACGCGGCTTAAAAATCTGTCAAAAGTCTGATCTGTACAGTTCTCGAAACGAACTTTCCTACCTGTGTAGGTATAAAAAGCAGTATGACACACACGCAGAATGACGTTGGTAGATGAGTGGGAGGGTAGTAAGCGTTGCAATCGTACCTGAATTCGCACAACTCGTTTAGTAGTTTCTAAAAGCATGACATTGTGCCTATGCGTCAGAAACAGGACCCGCACTTTTCCGGCGTGTCGACGACACGCAAACCAGTCCGATTCACAAGGACAGGGGTTGGTCTACGCCATTAATTCTACGCACATTAGTCTCCGTTTAGCACTGCTCATACGCTTTACTCTAAACACGACTCCTCACCTCACAACAACGGCACGCAATCAAGTCAATCTGCCAAAAAACAGACACATCACGCTTTTCTGTCTCGTAGTTCCTACAGGGAAGGTGTCTACAGCAGATTCATAAGGAGGTACTTAGAAGCTTGTCAATGACAAAGGGTTTGTCAAAACAGCTGTTCGAACAGGATGTGGGATTTACTACTGGCGCATGAATGCTGTTTGTAAAACAATCACAAACCAGTAGCAGCTGGTTGGTCATAAGAGGCTGTTAGCAGGACGTGGAGGTGAATTTGGTTTGTTGAAAAACACTGGCATATTGACACGTCCTGATAAGATTTATTACGCAAGAAGGCGAAACTCTCAAGATACAGCTAAATTCGTAAACGCGGAGTGACTAACACTAAGTAAGGAGTTCATTAGTAAAGGAATTGGCATAAAACGTGGGTGCTTGCACTTCTTGAATGGCTGAAAATGGGAATTTAAATAAACTTCACTTAAGAAAGTTTAAAAAATCAAACAATAACGCCACACGTTGAAGAGATCAGTAGTGGATTTGCGTGGATTGTATCTTAGAAAAGACTGTTAATCGTAAAACAGGGCCCAATTAGGTAAGTTTGGTGGGTCTTCAGCACACTAAATTGTACACAGCATCTGTTAAAAACCCAGTTGCTGGCGCAAGTTTTGGAAATTGTCTAAAATCCAAACTGCTTATAGGGCCAAAAGCTAGGGTTATGCATTTTTATCAAGTCTTCGGGGTGAGAAGTAAAACCAAATCAATTTCCAAAGGCCTAAATGACTTATAATTTATAAACGTGTATTTGCGAAAAGACCCTTATTAAAAAGTGGGATGACTTGGCTCAGTAAATCGAACAATCAAAGTTTGACTGCAGGCGACTAGCAGCTCCATCGGCGTTTTGAAAAACTTCCTACATGCTCACACTGTGATTGGCTGTTGTTAAGAGCAGAGGCAGAACGCCGCCGAATTTCCAGACCTGGCTTTTTTTGTCTTGCAATGCTCAACTAAGCGTAAAAGCTAGATGTGGACAAGGAACCCTCAGATAGAACCTTACACAGCGATTACCAGTGTGATGCACTACTTTGGAATTAGCAAAATGAACGTAGAGTGGATTTGTATAACAAAAATTGATAGCGATTGAACAAGATCACAGCGAAATCGAGGCCTGAACGTGATAGCAAGCGGAGAAATCACACGGCATCACGTGCTTACTGGTGGAGACATGGCCGAAATAGGCAAATCGATTTGGTGGTGAATCACAGTTCTACTAAAAATCACGATAGGGGGTGCCAATGTTTTTGAGCTATTGGATCTGGCGCTTACGTGAGTTGCTAGTGGTTATATGGCAAACAATTCTAAAACAAATAAGCTAAATATTTTGTGTTCTAGGATTTTTTAGGTGTTGTGTCTTCACTCGTCCCAGTTTCACTTGGACATTCGCTTACCAACCTTGTGCAAAAGTGAAGCATAGCGTGTTGAAACAGCACAAAACGGGAGAACAATAAGACAAGTGTAGATCTCGGTAGGTTCAGCACAAAATTGTAGAAGTGACAAGTGCGCACTAACTTAACTTCATAAACCAACAATAACAGAAAGTGAACTTTGAGCCACCTACAACAAACAGTTGGCGGAGCTTAGTGGCCACTAGGGAAATATGCAACTTCGCAAAAGGTACTAAACCATTGCCACTACACGCCACTATCTTGTGGGTGATTTATCAGAGAACAAAAGGCACCAGTCTTGGCATATATTTCCAACGGCGGCAGGCGGTCAATAAGTGGTGCTGTCGTTTCTAACGGTTGCAGACAGCGAAATTCGGATTGAAAGCTGCTAAACACAAGTAAACTACTTAAGTATTTACTGATTTAGCCCGTTTACGCAGTGATGTCATGTATTACCGTCACCAGATTC